CCCCCACCCACCCGCGGGTCTTCCCAGGCTGCCGACAAGGGGCTGCCAGCCGAGGAAGGAGGTTCCCCAGTCACCGAAGCCCACACTCGTGTATGTCCCCTGTTGTGCAAACATACAGTCACACACACCTATATTCTCACGGTCTCACACACAGTCTTACACACACGGTCACATACATGTTCACACGCAGCCTCACACAGTCTCACTCTCACACCCATAGTCCCACATAGTCGCGCACACACAGTCACAATCATATTCACACACCATCTCACTCACACACAGTCACACTCTCTCAGGGACAACCCCCACTGTAGCCGCTGGGGGCAGGGGGGTGGGGGGGCTCACTGTCCAATGGATTCCTCCATCCATCCAGCCCCTCAACCCTTAGGCACAAGACTGGACCTGGCACTGAGCTGGGCGTTCTCCATTCCTCAGGACGTTCCTCTCGAAGAGGCCAGGTGGGTAAACAACGCCACAGAGGAAGTGGCGATAAGTGTGGGCATTCATTCTAAGACTAGGTGATGGGTGAGCATATGCACCCTGGGAGCTCACCATCTGGGGCCCTCTGAGGAGCGGGGACTGGAGGGGCAAGGAAGTGGCAGCCACGTCTGGGAGCACAAGCACCCCAGGAGAGGGAGCAGCCAAGGCAGAGGCGGGAACAAACTTTGCTCTTGGTGCTGGGTGCCAGCGGGTGGATGTCAACCCACAGCCAACTCATCTTTACCCAGTGTGACTACGACCTGGCATTCGTCTCCGGGACGGATGACAGCCCAGCAGACCCTCTGGGGCAGTTCTCTGTCACACGGGCTCGCCATGAATTGGAATTGACTTGATGGTGCGGTGCACGATGCGGTGGGCTGCTACCCACGAGGTTGGCGGTTCAAATGCATCAGCCTGTCAGAGAGAAAAAAAAACGAGGCTGTCTGCTCTTAGAAACATTGACCGTCTCAGAAGCCCTTTCGGTGGTCACTAGGAATCAGAATGGCTGAGCCAGCCGTGGGTTTGGGATTCATCTTTACCAGAACAGATCAGGTCTTGGCAGCCCAACTCTTAACCCCCGCACCACCAGAGCTCCTTTGAATGAACTTCAGGGGACAGGGGCATGAACAATATCAAGCCAGAAGTGTCCACAGCAAAGAGAGTTGACACAGGTTGACGGATGGATATGTGCATGACTGTGCGTTTGATGTGTGGATTATCACAAAGGACGGGTAACATTTCAAAGAATGGGAATTCCAGAACACTTCATACTACTCGCGTGGAGCCTGTACATAGACCAAGCGGCAGTTTTAGAACCGAAAAGGGGGCTTTAAAGTGAGGAAAGGCTTGAGGTGGGGTTGTGCCCTTTCCCCAAATCAACATGCTGAGGAAGTCACATAAGTGAATCAAAAGCTAAAGCTTCACAATTGGGAAGGGATTATCGCTTTCATTCGCGTTTGAATTCCCCTGGTTGTCTCCAGAATTATGTCTGGCAGATAGTAGGTGCTGGAGAATAATTGCCGAAGAATTTTACTTTCCTCCCATTCACACAAGAAGGCCGCTTCTCACACCAGCTGGTGTGACCCACGAGGTGTCGAGGTGTCGAAGGGATCAGGTATCAGGCATCAAAGAACAAAAATCATATCATTGTAAATGAGGGTGAGTGCAGAGTGGGGACCCAAAGCCCATCTGTAGGCAACTGGACAT